AGCTGAAGCTGAAATAAGGTTTCCAACTGTCATTTGTGACACCTGTACCAGAGTTTCCAGTTCCCGGCGCGTTGGGGATGCTCTAAGTTGTTTTTTGTTTTTTTTTCTCAATGTTTTTTTTCTCGTTTTAGCGCTGGTGGCGCTGCAAATAAAAATTACGCTATCAGCTACTTTTTTTCCCCAAAAAACCTTGCCAACTACCACTAACTCTACTGGGCTTAGTGGTTTTTTCTAAACGCCACACTATTGCTTTCCTGGCTAGTAGCGCTGGGTAGCGCTGCAAGCCAGACTTGGGTGAGGTCCTACACCTCTTGTCACAATAACTTCCTGATGAAACTAACCTATACAATCAGAATAGAAAGAAAGATAATAATAGAAAAGGAAATAAGTTGGATAAGAAAGAAAATAATAAAGACTCTTTTAATATCAATTCTGACCTATAAGGTTTGATCAGGTCAAAGATAAAAATGAGAAAAGAGATCAACACTTTTGGTCTTTGATCTAAAGCTAGCGTTGTCATGATTCAGATGAAATAGGAAAAAAAGGGAATCAATAGTAACAGTTAGCATTATATAATAAAAGTTAATAGAAAAGATAGAGAGTATTGACAGAACTAGTTTAATAGAATGAATCAAGGTGTGTGATAATATATAGGAATTTGACGTACTCTTTTCCTCCCGTAGAATAACAGATGAGGAAAAAGAGTATGTCCGCGTGGAGGGATCAGAACTAGATAAGTTTGAGATAATTAGGGTTTGACCTCAAGGTTGAATATTAGAGTTAAAGTTCGAGCAGAATGAGCTTAATTTTTTAACACATGTAGTTTGACCTTTAGTCCATTATCAACGTCTGAAACACTTAATAAGAGATACTCAGGTGTATCTCAACACATGGCTGTGGGTCAAGAATCTGCATATGGCTCTTGATTGAGATTTGATTTACCTGAGATTACAGATCAGTCAATTTATTAGTTTGCTTATTGCAACCTGATGGCTAAGGACTGAACATTCATAAACTATGTCATTTGGCTTCAATTTGATTGAAATTGACATTGAATCTGAAGTCAAATTTGATACAGTCAGCCCATGCAAATGCATACTCATGCAGATGTGTAATACACCAACGTGCATAAGGCCTGGTATGGGCTAAATTTCCAATCATTGCATAATTGAATAATACAAATACAGATGTGGTGGCTGTGCTGTATAGAACCATGAGCTGGCCCCGGGCTTCAAGGGATCTGAAAGCCAAAATCTTGATTGGGGCAGTTGTATGTTACACTTGCAGTTGTAATTTACATCAATTCTATCATTCCTCAACTTGATCCAGCGTGGCCATTGCCTGTTCATAATGCATCACTTTGTGCTCCATGACTATACTTTTTTCAAGTGAGTTCATTGGACATAATGCATAATTGTATACATCATGGTCATAACACATGAGTTTATGCATTATAACAAAACCCCTCAAAATGAATAGCTGGTCACAATGCATAGAAAAAACCATCTTCCCAATTCATGCATTGGCACGGGTTCAACTGTAGAAGTGGAACCATAAATCAAGGTATTCTTGTTTTATCATACTTCACAACAGGATGAATCATCAAAAGACCAAAGTGTTTGTTGAAACCTATAACAAATATCTTCAATGAAGTTATGTCCAAGGCTTCATCTGGAATCACTGCAAGATGTTTAGTTATATTGCTTTGATATAACACCTTGTCCACCCGAATTGCGCCGGACGTCCGGTGAGCTCTGCGTCAAGCAATTGTACGACTTTTGTGTAGTAACTTGTTCCGCAATTACTAATAACTGAGCGTCGCAGTAGCGACTGAGCCAGAATCAACTCCCGTGTTTAACTCACTCATACTCAACCCATCTGACTGAGTGGACTGGACACCGTCTGAGTGAATACTATACTTGCCATCACTCATTGTTCAAAGATGTTAGTTGGTCTCTTGGATCATTGATCATTGTTTCGGTAAGATCCCCGGCAGTACATACAATTGATCAACGATCACTTTCATCTATGAAAGTTAAATCAAAGGGGATGTTCTGCTGTATATATACAGGGGAAGTTCTTGTACCTATACAGACCTATACGGTAACCGGTAAATCTTGAATCCACGATTGTACAGAACTGTATTAGTCAACGTACGTAATGCGTACCAGCGCACACTACACTTACCCTTCCTTCCATTCCTTTTCCTCAAACCATCACATCAGCGACTATTTCTCCATTCATCATCGATTTCGACTTCCCCTATGACCTTGCCACCGTGATCACCTCGCACCAATGTTGACTGACTCACCCCCGTTCACCGCATCGACCACATCGATCTAGATACACAATTCTTCGGGTCCTTTCACCGTGCATCAATCGTCTTTCCAATTGCTTGATGTCTCCTTTGAACACCTTCTGCGAGTCCAACGAAGGATATTGTAAGGACTTCCGGCGAGCCTTTTGTCATCAGAAGATTCCGGTTTTGGTAAGTTATCCATATTTAAAGCCATGATTCACTTAAGCTTGTTCACATCACTTCTCAATTCACTATACTCTCCAGCGCGCTGACGATATTCTATTCTTGGGTATGTCCAACCTATACGTTTACTCAGGGTCTTTGAAGTGCTAAACTGTAATTGTTTCAATAGTTCCATCTCAAACCATGTCCATCAAGATCTACGGCAACCTCACCATGGCGGACAACTCTTCCATCACCACCACAAATTGCAGACGCAGTCGCCCAACCCCACCTGCGCTTCCCACTGAAGCAGGAACAAATCCAGTTCCAATAGATCAACCACAAAGAACAAATTCTGTGACCCGGCGCCGTCGATCTTCGAGAATTGCTCGACGTGCTGAACTGAGGAACATACCAATCTATAGACGTCCACTTCCCTCTGCTTATGAAGATCTTGACTTCTGGTCAAAGATCAGAACCTTACCACCCAATCTTCTCCTTTACCTCTCGCCCGGGTGGCATCCGGCTTGGTGCACCAAAGACCTTCTTCGCCAAATAATATGGCACTTCAGTCCAAACCTCCGCATCCCGTGTTGCACGCTGAAGGCGGAATTGATTGAACTTTTGGAATATCATGTTCACAGCCAGTACGGCGCGTACTATGGAATCTAAGGAATCTATGGGGTTATAAGTAAGTTCTTGTTGTACTTTTCTTATGATCCCCATCCTTTCCCACTTACTGACTATTTATTGTAAACAGATTAATCTCATTGAGTTTTTTTGCGACAGATTGTCCGTAGTTGTGATACCTCAAGACGCAAGATGATTTAGGGTTTTTCATTAGGCTATGAGACGCGAGTTATTCATGATGCAATGTTTTCATTTTTCTCTCTTATCTACAAGTTACCGTTTACAAATGTATATATTTTTTTGCCTCAATTGATTAGTTTCTTAAATCATGCAGTCTCCAACAATTCATGAATCAATCGCGCATCGATTTTAACAGTTCTTCAAAAAGACTGTTCTGTTTCCTGACCATGTGGGTAACTCGCTAGCTCTCTGAGGAGGTGCAAGAGATACTGGCATAATCTAGAGTTGCATGCCCCCAGTTTTGTGCAAAACGGTTCTTGACGGTTCTTGGAGAATCACGTGATGCTCGGCAACAGATTCAGATGTGGCTCTGGCGAATATATTTCAGAGGACATCAGAAGATTTTAAAAGTAGTGATTTTCTTGATTACTTATACACATCACTCAAATTGATCAGCTTCGGTGTTATCACCTAAACATACAACAAATCCAATTCATCAACTTGGATTTTGTATTGTGAATGGCACAACACATCTGCTGCTGTGAAGAGCTTCAATGTGCGGCTGAAAGTTTTCAACTCGACGGTGTTCTTCGTCAAGGGAAAATCAGGAATAAGCAAAATGGGCGGTACCACGAGGACAAACTGCGGAGGCTCCGCTTGATGAGGTTGACAGAGAACGTATCAACACCACCACTGGCTCGCCAGCCCTCGTCTGTCCACGGTACAACAGATATCGCGGTATGTTTATCTCATTTCATTATCTTTTAGCTTATAACTGATTGATCACTTTATCTATTCTAGGTTCGCCGAAGGTCTCTGAGTACTGGTCATCTGGATACCGTCAGATTGCAGAGATCTTCCACAGGTCAAAATCAAGAGCTTTTGTCACTAGCTGGAGCGCAAAGGCGCCGGAGAAGCTCACAAACGATTTGAAGAACCGAATCGATCACTCTCGATGATCAGTATGTCTTGGAAACTGTCTCAACGAAGCCCTACCAGATCCCGCAGGTCTACCTTCAGCGACCTTCATGTCTTATCGGAATGCTTCAGGTCGCACATGCGAGTATTACGAAAGGGGTAAAAAATCTAGCCTGCCGGACTCTACTTCACTTCAACCAGCGACTGATAGAACAAACAGCAAAAGACATGAATTATACCGGTCGTCCTTACTGGGAGAACTTACCGGTCACTCTGCCGATGTTATACACGATGCTCAACCTTGAGGTCAGCCTGGAGTCGCAGATTGTCTGCCCGGAATGTTTTACCCTCCATGGCACACCAGCTAGAGAACTCGACGATACTCGCAAGACGGTGTGTGATGCTTTACGCTTTTTGCGAGAGCCTGGTGCAAAAAGGGGTACTCCAGTTACGCGTCATGCGTGCGGCCGAGCTCTCTATTCAGGTGATGTTCCCACACCATGCCGGCAATTTCATTATCACTCTTTTCGAACCTGGCTGGCTAGGATGTTAAGCATTCCCGGCTTCGAAGCTGCTCTTGACGCTCCGTTACAACATCAGGACGATGGTGAAACAATGCGTGACATATGGGATGGTGAGATGTGGAGATCCTTTGGGGACTCAGGAAGTCCGTTCACTTCAAAAACTGGTAATCTAGTCTTTGGTTTATTTGTGGATTGGTTTAATCCTCATGGACGTGGGGCTCAAAAAACAAAATCCCACGGTATAATGCTTCTCATATGTTATAATTTGCCACCAGACAAACGATACAAGCAAGAAAACCTTTTTCTTTTTGGCGTCATTCCCGGACCTAGCGAACCGGCTCTCAAACAAATGAACGAACTTTTGAAGCCGCTTGTGGCTGAACTCCAACAACTTTGGAGAGGAATTTTCCTCACGTCAACTGCGGATTATCCTGAAGGCCGTGTCATACGTGCCGCACTATGGCCCCTTATCGCGGATCTCCCAGCCATGCGAAAAGTCGCTGGCTTTGCTTCGCATTCGGCAACACATTTCTGCGCGCACTGTGGTATTGTGTTCGGTGATAGACACATCATTGACCCGGATCTATGGCCAGAAAGAGTCGACCATCAAAAACACGCTGAAGAGTGGAGGGATGCATTCACAGAAAAGAGACAAGAAGATATATTTCATACTTACGGAGTTCGATACACAGTTCTATCTGAGCTTCCCTATTGGCAACCCATTGAATTTGTCACCATCGACGTTATGCACTGTCTTCTCCTTGGAACATTGAAGGATCATGCACATAGTTTCATAGGACTTGGTCAAGCGGGAAAAAAGCTCAAAGCAAAGCTGGATGCTGAAGCTCATCTAAATATACAAAATCCACTGATTGCACGATCAATCTCCTCCAACAATGTTGATGTAAGCAACTCTCTTATGATACTCCAATGGGATTTAGTGAAAAAAGATGAAAAACTGATCAAATCCTGCTTATCTTTCTCTTAGTGTGGTACTTCCAACTCAGCAGGATTTAAAACCACCAGCTCACAAGACGACAGCAGCATGCATACGGAACAATTGAGCGATCTAAATGAAAGTTTGCCAAATGACCGGTCGAGCATGTCCAATTTTTATGAATCTACAAGCTCGAATTGTACGCGATCTAGTTCAGTGGTGGAGAAAACGAGCGAGGTATCATTCCTTACAATCACTTACGGAGCAAGACATATTGACAGAGATGCGACCTCCGTCATCTTCAAATCAAGTCATTCAACAAGAGTCGCCAAGCTGTTGTACCCAGGAAGCGTGGCAGACCACGTGGAACAGTTAATCAAATCAATGATGCTAAAAGAGCAAAGCTGACCGCTTCCAGCGTTACACCTGTGCCTTTCCTGAAATCTGTGGAACCCAACATACAGTCCTCCGCTCTACTTGAGACACAAGGTGCCTCAACTTCTATGTCTTCCAGCAAGCTTATCTTGATTCCGTCGTCTGAAGAAACGAATTTCCGGTCCTCTGATCTATGGCGATCCGATCGACTTCGGTCCCAAAGTATCACGATGATGGCTACTTTCGATAGACCGGTGCATGAAAAGGTCAGTACAGGTCGCCTTCAAAGCGGTTCCAACATTACGGTTCGCGCGTCTGCCCAGGCCTCAAAAAAAAAGATGAACAAAAGCGCCACAACTGCTCCCTCAAAGTCTTCAAAGGCGAAAGATGGTCAACCCGAACCGGAGACCAACAATCCATCACTTACGATGGAGGATCTAATTGACATCCGACATGCGATTTCCACGGAAAAAACTCCAACTTGGATGACTCGCCCTCCAATCAAGATTGGAATCCCAAAGTCCGGGAATCCGAGTGCAATGGAATGGCTCACTTTTTACACAGTTTATATGGTCCTCGCGATCATCCCTAAGCTTTACTTTTCAAAAGATGTAAAAGAACAGGCTCTATGTGAGAGCCTGATATACTTAGTGGAGATTACCAACTGTGCTCTGTGTCGAACCTTCTCCAAAAAGGATAAGGAGGATCTCAAGAAATTGGTGCATAGCTATCGCACACATCTGGGGTCTTTGTGGAAGGGTGTCAATGTCAAGCCCAATTTGCACTTCTTGCAACATCTCGTTGAAATCACCGATCTTTTTGGTCCTCCACCGTACACTGGCACAATGTTTGGTGAGCGTGTGATAGGGATGCTCAGCAAAATATCGAAAAACCATCATGCAGGTATGATTTTCATTAATTTGACGTGAGGGGGCCAATGAATGTTGACGCTATTTATCAATCTTTTTTCTGTATTTATAATTGTAGCCGACATAGACAAAACAATGACACAGACCTATACTTGTCGAGGACTATTCAAGGCAGTCTTGAATGGCTGTCCCACCTTTCTAGGTCGTGTCGATGCAAAAATTCAAGACGAGGTAATCCAAGAACTTACAGAGATGCCAAAGACGAAATGGTCCAAGGAGATCAGTCTCAACCGTGATACTTATGATATCTGGCTCAACTATCTGAATTCGGAGTTGGATCAACGTTATGGGAACTTCATCGATTGATATAGCATTTCCGATTGCAACCCTACTCTGCCTATAACCGTTGAAACCACCAAACTACTCAAGATCCGTGGGAAGAATTACACCTTGAATCAGCTACTCAAGGGGAAGGGTAACAGTTCAATCGAATATTGCATTTGGGGGGAGCGTCGTTTTGGCTACATACAATACGCTTTTCGAACAAAGCGTATCCCGACGGTTTTTTTAGTGGTGGATCAATTCACCCAGCTGAACGCAAGGGATTCGACACGAGATTGCTTTGTATCTCACCCCCGCCTGCAGGCCGCCTTGGTATACTCAAAGATAGAACGTACTGTGGTCGTTGACGTTCACAATCTTATGGGTCACGTCATTGTGTTGCCCTATGCACCCGGTCACCTCGGTATTGCGCACAAGAAACTAGGTATAGTAGGGCTGCGGAACATAGTGAGTTTTTCTACGCTCTAACATTCTTCTATAGTGGAGTATTCATCTGACTACTATTGGACAGATTTCCATTGATGCAGACAGCACGTCAGAATGGTGATGGTAATAGGAATTGTAAATCAGATATTCTTGTATTCCACAGAAAAAAAGATTAAGAACCAAATTATTTGATAAAGAGTTAGGACAATGATTGACTTATGAACACAAGTATACGTCTTGAAAAATAAGAATTCCTGTCATTCATCAAACTTCTATCAATATGCATCGTGCTTTTCACTGAGTACATGAGTATTGGCTGTAATAAACGAGTCATGTATGGTCATGAATACAAGGTAAATTAAGGAAATTGATAAACGACGCCGACCTGAAAACAGATCTGACACCGGTTTTCATTAGACCGGATTCCTTTCGAAGATGTACAGCTCTGTACATCTGCTATACTGCTCTACAGGGCTGTACTGCTTCCAAAGCCTTCAGACCGCTTCAGACGATGTTGTTGTAGTAGTCACGTGACATGGCACGACTGCGGCACAGACTGTCTCACGCTCTGGTGAACAAAACCCAGCCTGACTCTGATTTCGAGATTCCACATCATCATATGTGGAATCTAAAACATCTTGCTTACTTTTGTACTTTGTCTATTCACAATAGGTATAATACATCATCATATGTGGAATCTAAAACATCTTGCTTACTTTTGTACTTTGTCTATTCACAATAGATGTCTGAAGCCGGTTTTTTATTTCACCTTGAAGCCGGATTTTCATCTCGTTCTGAAGCCGCATTTTCTTTTTGTGCTGAAACCGGTTCGAATTCAAACCGATTGCATCGGATCTTTAACAGTGGACTTCATAAGTCTAACAGCAGAAAGCAGGGCAATTGTCAAGGGAGGTGGTATAGACTTGAATCAAACATTGAAAGAAATGCACAAGAGCCAAAAATCTCGGACAAGAGACAACAGTGGTATGAAGACCTTTTTGCTCATCTATAGGCATCTTATCAGAGCTCGGTATTTCTCTGCGAGTGGAGGATCTTTTTGATATGTAGCAAAATTTCATGGTGTTGTATTTATGTGGTTTGGAATCATATCATTCTAAGCTGGAAACATGGCCATCCCATATGCCCGAGAGCTCTCAAGTGTATGTTTAACTTTAGGGTCCAAAATGGATAACTTGAGGTCATCCGCAATCAGTCTCAAAGAGACCTCGGGGAGCAAAACTGTACGGACCATACTTTCGGGACTGAGAGGCTTAACTTTTGTGTGTACAAGTTGATTTGGAGCTTGCGGGCGCAGGAAGTGCCAATGAAGAGTTTGATAGATGATTTCTAAGCCCCTGCCACCGTAGCTACAGTTTGATATCAGCTATCAAAAGATGAGAAATAGTGGAAGGAAAATATGAGAAATAAAGTTGTAGTGTGAGATACTCACTACCCTGGTTGTTCGAGCTCAAAAGTGAGGTTTCCGTGCAATACACTGTCCATTCGACGTGTACCATAGTCCTTACAGATTTGCAGTGCGCCAATCAAGTATGTGCTTTCGATTTGGCAATCGATGATTGGTTGCAGATCGGTGATGAAGTTCTCTACACGTCTAGAATCAGGCCCGAAAGGTTAGTATGTATGTAGATCGCATGAAAGCTGTGTGTTCATCACATTCAAAGGTTGAATTAGTTACCTCGAAAGATTGTCAAAATCAAGTCTTGAAGGCCACCCGTTCTCAATTCCCATGGGAACGTATTGGGCCTCAGAACCATGCATACCACAAAAACCGATCGTTTGGGACAACTGATAGAATGTATTAACATCTTGATTAGACTCAATTGGGCATATGTGAAGCGCTGAAGGGGGGATGAGAGCAGTGAATATCAAATTGAACTTACCTGAAGAGAAAGTGCACGAGGATTGCCTAGTCGAGGTGTCTTCTTGGCATCGGGACGTTTGATAAGCATTTCGAGGTGTCTTTGAAGTTCTTCCGAAAGATGTGATGGAAGAGGTTCATCGCAGAAAGGGCATAGAGTTGCTCCATCATTGTCCTCTTCTGAATCTGAGTTAGAATCCTCGTGAGCTATTCTTTCAAGAGTTTGATTAGATTCTGAGTTGGGAAAATCTTTCTCGTGTTCAGAATTGTATCTGCCTAAGGTAGACAATTCTTGATCCACTTCAGTATTGCCAATAGTTGTATTTTCATCTTGATCTAGTCCAAGTTCTTCCGGAGTTGGATTGTGTGGGCGAGGTATGAGTGGACACTTATCTTTCCTGTGACCAGAGTTCTTACAATTACTACACTTGCGAGGAGCCTTCGGTTTTGGGGGGGGCTTTGGTTTTGAGGGAGCTTTTGGTCTTGGGGGAGCTAAGTACTCAAAGCCTGAAGGATCTCGCGGTCGCAGTTTTGATTTTGACTTGGACCAATCCTTCTTAGAACCAGTTGGACGACCCCGTGTGTTGGTGATAGTTGCAGGTGCTCCAACTGGTACGAGTTCGTATTGACCGCTTTGAACTTTGATCAGTTCGTCGTATGCTCTTCTTAATGCGTTCTCAGGAAGATTACATAGGCTTTCAGCTTGCTCTTGTAAGTTGGCTCGTAAGGCCTCCAATGACACCGGAATTGGTTCATCAATCAGTCTCCACTGGTCGTGAAACGCTTTGATTGGAACCTTTTGGCCAAGGACAATGTAGGCCTCTAATTGATGTGAGCAAGGAATGCCACAAGCGGTCGAGAATGCTTTTGTGCAATGTTTCCGATCTGAATTGCCAATCAGACCAATCTGTTCAGTGGCAAGTCCAATTGCATAGTGAGATAATTCAGTGTGCAGTAAATCGAAGCATTCATCGATGTTGTTGATTGTTTGTTGGAGCTCACTGGTCAGTTGACATTCGAAATCAGTGACTTGATGTGTGACTGCTAGTTTGAAAGCTTTGAAACAAGATAGTAAGTCCTGCATAGAACCTTCAAGGAAACTTTTGACAAAGCAATGAGAACCCTCAACTCGTGAAGTTGTTTGGTTTCCAAAGTGGAGGAAGTCGTTTGCAAAAAGCTTCACATATTTTTCTACAATCGGAAACCAGTTCGACTTGAGATATTGAAGGATTGTGGGTGTATGACTCTTTGCAATCTCAATAAGTTTGGACTTGTTGGCATCAAATTCGTCTTCAGTACAAGAAGCTACAAAAGTATGCCAGCAATTGTAGAATGCATCAAATTCTTCTGTGACCGTAATGATTGGCTGGCATTTAGTTAAGATTGCCTTGTTGATGTGCCACAGACATAAGATATGGTTGCTTTCGGGGAATACATCAGAAATTGCACCAATGAGTGCCTTATCTTTGTCAGTCACAAAAGTCTTTGGTTGATGAATGTTTGGCTTCAAGAGTGTCTTGAGCTGTTCGAGTGCCCATGTGTACTCCTGGCGATCTTCTTTTTTCATGAAGCAGAAAGCGAGTGAAAAGGACGAGTTGAAGCAAGTTGATCCTACAATGTGCAAGAGAGGGAAGTGGTGTTTGTTGGTGTTGTATGTACAATCTAATCCAAAACAATGCGGAAAGCGGCGTCCCATCTCGATTGAACTTGGATGAGCAAAAAAAAGGGATTCAACGGTTCCATTAGGTGCAAGTTTCACTTGATAGAACCAGTTTTCTTTCCGAAGTCGTGTGATCAGATGGACCATGGGTGTTTTCCCTTCAAGTTCCTTTCTTCGAGAGCGAGCTTTTTGATTGTATATATCTCGCATTGGTCGATGAGAGCTTTCCCCCGGAAGCAAAACTCAAACAGTGCGAGGACGTACATTAGCCTCCGTTAAAGTATTCATTAATGTTTCTTCTGTGTCTTTCAAGCGGCGCAGGCGAGGTAGGTCACTTGGCCTCTTGTAAGGCTTGTGATTGTGACGAGAGTGTTGAACTTTGACCTTCCAATGACCTTGCTTTGTCCAGTAGTTAAGAGAAACTCCAAAACGACAGTCAGATTTAGATGTGCTGCTTTTTCGTGGCTTTTTCAAGTCTTTTTCGTGTCCATTCAGAGGTTGAACTTTGACTTTGGCTACACCTGAAGCACGCTTGGGATTCTGGTGACCACGTACACAATAGAAGTATCGGCTCTCTAGATGAGGGCCTTTGTTAGACCTGATTGCAATTGCATAACCCTGATGCTTTGCAACTGCTTCGAGGTATCGTTGCCCTAGCTCCTTAGACTTGAAGATCTTGCCCTCTCGAGGCGGGAGTAGTTCTCGTGCTGGTGTAGCTCCTGGATTGGTCAAAATGTGTTAGACACGGTGCCCTTCTACAGTTGAGTTGATTTGATGTCAAACCAACCTTGAGGAGGCCAATCTTCATTGAGCTGACCACTTTGGCCGATGTTGTCATTTACACCCTTGCCGTCATCACTTGTATCTGAGGAACAAACACAGGATCAACTCACAGTCAGTCTTGATTCAAGAGTATGTACATACTGTCCATCCATTCATTATGTTCTTCCTCGGACTCATCATACTCTGTCTCTTCTGACTCGGTTGAATCATAGTTATCTGTTCCTTTCTCTTCATCTTCTGTCTCTGTCTCACCCTCTGCATCATCTTCACTTCCTGGTATGTTCTCTAGAGTAGATTCCGGGTGGTGAAAAGTTGAGAGAGTGTTTCTAGAAGCCGTGTTTGATGAAGGGTTGTCTGTGATAAATTGATTCATAAGATCCTGAGCTTGATATGTTGTTGTATTACTGGTGAAAATATGATCATCTCTTTGATTGCAATACATTTTTGAGACTTGATAGCAGCTTGGAAACGAGGAGTTGTGGTTTTCCGGCGGCTTTGGAGGTTGTAGTTGGGTGTAGAGCACAGATCACTGATGGTAGATGATGCGAGAGAAGCTCATATTTGATTTTTTTCATTGGCTCTCCCTTATTGTATGTACACGTGTTGCAAAGAGACATGGGATACAAGAGCTGCTTCCTTAACCAACACTTTCAAAAGTGGGCTTCAGACAGCTTTCCAAACAATCCGAATGGAAAATCCGGCTTCAAGGTGAAATAAAAAACCGGCTTCAGACGATGTCTGAAGCGGTCTGAAGGCTTTGGAAGCAGTATAGCAGATGTACAGAGCTGTACATCTTCGAAAGGAATCCGGTCTAATGAAAACCGGTGTCAGATCTGTTTTCAGGTCGGCGTCGTTTATCAATTTCCTAAATTAAACAAGTGATTGACATATTTTGCCTATCAGCAAAGTTAAAGTGGAACTGGCAGGTTCTTGACTGAGGAGCTGTTTATGCGTTTCTCCAAATGCATTCCTCCAAACAGGACAGTAGCAGTTTGATGGAAGGTTTCGAGGAGCTTTGCCGTGAGATGATATCTGGATTGCTGGACTTCTTCTCATGTCAAGCCGCCCGGCCGCCCATCTTGACCCGTGCAAAGACTTTTGTTGTTTGAAAGAAAGCTGATCGAGCAAATGCATAAGCTCGGAAAATTCTTGACTTCTCCAAACCATACCTATGGCACGGGTTTTACCGGGTCCATCGTCCTCGGTATCCGAGCAACAGGCCGCACTTGAAAGTAAGCTCAAAGCAGAAGGAAGAAGGTCTCTATCATCCGATTCAACAAACTCTTCTAAAGCATCTTGGCGGTAACGGAAAATCTGGGAACAAATCTCAGTAATAGAAAAAAGGGAAGAAATTGTTGGGAGGCGGACGTACTGTAGCTCTTCTCTGGTTTTTTTTTTTCGGTTTTGATAATTTTCATCTTGGCCCACTCTTCCTCGAATCCATCTCTCCATGACAGCCCGACATATTGCATCGCTGGAGAATCTAGGATCAGGATGATATTGAGAGAATGCTCCTTGCGCCATAGCCCATCGCCAGTGCTTCAGTAAGAACACCAGCATTATCTGGTTCCATGAAGAGCTCACAGGCAACTCCCAAGCAAGAGTGGCACGAGGGATTGAATATCGGCTAAGATCTTGAAGAAAGAAGTGCCTGTATGTGAACCAACAGGAATTTTGCCGAGGTAAGAGCTTTATTGTTTGTTGGGAAGTACTAGGTGGCGAAAGATGGTTGGTGAAAACACTTAAATCAGCACTAATGGTTTCTGGAGACAATTGAGGAAGCTGATTGAGTTCAAAAGCCTCTGGACTAGCAGGGTAGGGTGTGCGAGAGTTGTATTTTCCAAGCAGAAATTTCAAGTAGTCGGTGATGGCCTGATAAGAGGCCGAGTTGCGCTGAGGTAACCACTTAGCAACTTCTCTATTCTGAGCTTTCACAGAGTTGACTCCAGTTCCGTCTTTGAAGTGCATAGGTTGATCGAGGAGGGCTGTTCCCGCAACAATGAGGAGTAGATAAGAAAGTTGCAAGAGGAGCAGGTATGTCCAAGAAGGGAAGATAAATATCAACTCACGTTTAGAAGCCACCATGGTTTTCATTCTTCCAGAGAATGTGATGATCAAAGTTCGGTTTTGCGTTTGGGGGAATATGAGAGCAGACAAGTAAAGAGAGCTGAGATGATAATGATTTTAGACCTCTTTGCTAGGAAGATAAACACTATTGAATACGTCACACAAACCAGTAACTTATAATAATGCTAAAATGACTTCTCCAGGAAGCCAAGTCAAGGACGGAATTGTTTACAAGGAGAAATTGGATGCAACAGAGGAATTATCAGCAATGAAATAAGTAATATTCACAAGTGGTATTCACATAGACGACGCTAAAAGGTTAACATGAAGATAAGACCCTTTTGTCAGAGGGAAGAAATAAAGGCAAGGAAGCGGTGACGTCAAGGCATGGCCGACGTTTGATTGATGTCCACCTGTGGTGATCGCTCTTTGGCAAACGATCAATGGTTCAGTTGTTTTAGAGAAGACAAAGGGTTATGATCGGCAGCTAAAAGGTTTGTTCCTGTTTTCAATGACATCGATTTACTGTCCTGGCTAAGACTTTGTCTTTGAGGTTCATGTCATAGCTTTTGTCTTTGAGTTTCCCTCAATCTCTGAACGATTGATGTATACATACATACTGCTGTTGCAAATACTGCATCAAACTCAAAATATACTTGAACAATCTCGTCGACTATTCAATTCTTACTTCATCCTCTCGATCTCCCAAATTCAGCTCTGATCATCGTTCTGTCCTTGTCGTTCCCGCTGTCCTCGATGGACCAGAGTGAGTCATTTCGATATCATGCTTCATCTCTGCCAAGCATGTGCTGCCCATGGTATTGGAGTTTTACTCACTGTGATTTTTTACAGATCAAATCGACCAACGGGATACGCTTTCCGAGCTCTTTGAGGACCTCGAACAACTAGTTGCCTCACCTCAGATGTACAATGCTGCCTCTGGCCAGCCCGCGCCGGAACCTTCTGCTTTGTTAAATTACAATTCCTCTTTTGTCAACCCTGGCGCTCCGTCTCTCCCAAGCGCACGACACAAAATCGCCAAATTGCCTTACCATTTATCAAAAGATCACCATTCCGCAATTATATCGCTGTCAAACTCTGCCAGTTCAACTGAAGTCCTTGCAGAAGACGGCAATGGTATTGGTGCGATTATCCCTCGAAAGCGTCCTTACCAGTCACATCCGGATAAGGAAACGCAGCGTAAGCGTCCACGTCTACCATTGCGCAATAGCAGCAGTTCTCGGATACAATTTCAGCCGTTTGATTCCCCTAACGACGCTCAAAAACGTCCTCGTATATCAGACCCCTCATCCATAGGATCCAAGCTCAGTACGCTCAACTTACCTCCCAAGTATGAAACTCCCAATCAATCGCCAGCTCATTCTCGAGAATCAATGAGGAGTAACGACGGTCCTCCTCCTTTGATTCAGGATCACGTCGAAACCAATTATGCTCACGATCTTCCAGCTGTATCATGTGCTAATTCTCTAGATTCAACAAGAATGAACAACAGCTCTTGTCATTTGATTTCACAATACACCGAACATTCCTCTGAAGCAGATGACCAACCCAATTTATCATCCGAAGGATCAAAGCCCAGCCCATCGCCACAGAGCCGTACGCTCAACTTACCTCCCGAGCATGTTCATCAAACCACTCGATTGCCATCTCATTCTCGAGAATCAATGAGGAGTAACGACGGACGTCCTCCTTTGGTTCAAGAATATGTCGAAACCCATTATGCGCACGATCTTCCAGCTGTATCACGTGCAAATTCTCTAGCCTCAACAAGAATGAACAATAGCTCTTGTCCTTCGGTCTCAAGATACACCGAACATTCCTCTGAACCAGCTGACCAACCCAATTTATCATCCAAAGGATCCAAGCCCAGTACGCTCAACTTACCTCCCAAGTATGAAACTCCCAATCAATCGCCAGCTCATTCTCGAGAATCAATGAGGAGTAACGACAGTCCTCCTCCTTTGGTTCAAGAATATGTCGAAACCCATTATGCGCACGATCTTCCAGCTGTATCACGTGCAAATTCTCTAGCCTCAACAAGAATGAACAATAGATCTTGTCCTTCGGTCTCAAGAAACACCGAACATTCCTCTGAACCAGCTGACCAACCCAATTTATCATCCAAAGGATCCAAGCCCAGTACGCTCAACTTACCTCCCAAGTATGAAACTCCCAATCAATCGCCAGCTCATTCTCGAGAATCAATGAGGAGTAACAACGGTCCTCCTCCTTTGGTTCAAGAATATGTCAATCTTCCAGCTGTATCACGTGAAGATTCTCTAGACTCAACGAGAATGAACACAATGAACAATCGCTCCCATCATTCTGCCAATGGTCGGATATTCAGTATGAGTGAAAATCACCCCAGCTCATTGTCACAGGACGCCATGTTCACATCAGCTCCTGTCAATAGTCTGAATCGACATGCTCATGAACTGTCTGATCAACCCCATCACGGCTCTCAGTTGACTTACGTACCACCTCGTATGTGGCATGAGTTTCAATTTGAATTTGGCGAAAATCAGGTACCTTATCAGCATGCGCCTGCGGTGACTCCAGCACTCCCCCAATTGTTTGACCTTAACCCGTGCCCCAGCAATGGACCACCCCGACCGGAGCGTGATCTCTTCCAACAAAACCAAACACAGCAAGCAACGCTGACATCTTTTCATGTGCCTCTCGCGTCCTCCAGAATGTCTTTCTGCTCCGCTGAAATGCAACAAAATCAAGATCCAAATGCTCGTCAAAGCGGTCGAACTTCAAGGATGTCTTTGTGTTCCACTGATTTACAGCAGCAAAATCAAGATCGCAGTGCGACTCAAAGTAGTCGATCCTCAAGAATGTCCTTCTGTTCAGAAAATATCCCACAACCTAATATTCAGCCTGAAAATCCCTCTTCTTACCAGCATCCACCGCTAGTGCTGCCTTTTAGAACTTCTACACGTAAGTTCCCCAATCAATATGATGCATTATCTCCTACTAATTGTATGTAATCTCTTTTCTCAGACGGTCCTTCACACACAAATCGAATAGAAGATTTTGAGGACCGATCACACCAATCACATGCGCATTCCCAAGATTCAAGAAGGAGAACTAATAGGCCTCCTCCCTTGCAACACAATCGTGTTCGTACTTCCTACACCACTGTTCTTGATCCCAGCTCGCCAGCTCAGCTTCAACCGCACCGATCTCAACTCAATAATCTTCAGACTGCTTTGACTTTGCCACGTCAGTCTATATCACAGAAACGGGGAGGTCAACAGCGTCAGAACCATGACGTGGTTTTCCATCAAATTCAACCTTCCCTTCCTACCAGTCAGCAAGCCTACGGCAATCTCCAAAATTGTACTCGGACTTACCATACCCGCATAGTCGAACCCCTCAATGAGCCACCTCACAATCAACCTCCAACTGTAACTTCCCGCGTCTCTGATTTACCCTATGAGACTGCTGCTAGAGCTTACCATTCACAGTCACTCCATCAACGCTACCCATCAGCTCAGCTCCTCAGTAGCACTCAAAACTCTCGGTCCCCTGATGTCACATCACATTTGGCTCCTGACTATACTCACAATTTGAACAATCAATCATGTGCATATCAGATCGCTCCTCAAACTCAAAATGTCCCTCGAAGTATTCAACCAAATCCACTGCAACACGGCGCACTTCCAGTTCAAAGCTTTGGTCATGATCTCACCTCAGCTTCTCAAACGCATAATTCACCTTTTTTACAACAACCTTTGTGGGGAGGGTTTCAATATCAAGGAAATCAAGGACCTTCTTTTTTTCCTTCGGCGACTACAGCACCAGCTCAATCTTTCAACCCACGCCCTCATGCTCTACCATTGGCATCACCAACGGAGCGAACCGAGCGCAACATCTTTCAACAAACCCAACCTCAGCCCCAAACGACAGCAATTTCTCGCCCTCGTCAAACGTCTATGATGTCCATCTGCTCCACTGAAGCGATGCCCAATCAACCAACCCGCCCTTGTCGAAGCATCCAATCTCAAAGAATGGCATCGTGTGCAAGAAATGACCGCCAACCCAATTCCCCGCCTGCAGCGACTGATGCTCCTCGTCAAGCATCAGGGGCACCGTCTGATACATGTAAGTTCCCTAATGTCTGAAATCGTATGATCCATTTTGACGGATGCTAACTCATCTTGTCTCTCAGCCGGTCTTTCATACGCATCCCAAGAGGCAGCAAGACCAGATGAGATCAACGATGACGTGGATGATGACAATATTCATGCTTCAGATGAAGACACCCAAGAATCTGAAGGTGATGGTGTTTTCGATCTAGTTGAAAGTCGCAAGTACCACAATCTGGGAGCTTCGCGCCGAGCTCGAAATACAGTCGCCAGACATGATGGCACTCGATATGAGAAGCGTGCTAAAACTCCTATCGAGTGCTCTCAGTATGAACGACTCACCGTTGCAATCCATCATTACAACAACATGCTCCTAGGCATCGTTCGGAAAGGTAAAGGCCGAAAGGCCAATCAAATCCTCCCCCCGCCACCCTCTGACGATGAGTATTCCGCGTGGGACAAACGGAAAGTCGAGCGTTGATCCATTGTTGATAAGAGCGTCGAGAAAGCTCGTCTTCGCTACCTCCGAAAACATCCACAGGCCCACCCTGCACAGCTTGCTAAAGTTGGAGATCACGCTGCTGAGGAAGCTATCTCCACAATTCCGCCCGTCAAATTTACCTCTCTAGTGGCGCTGAGGAATTCGGGTGTTCTTTATCCAACAACGGTTGCCTCTACTTGCAAAGGTTCATTGGCACTTTCTGGCTTTGCGTGATTTACCTACGATTGGACCGATACTATCAAGTCCAAATGGAACGAAGCCATCTCCTCCATTGTTCTCCAAGAATGGGAGAAGGTTTATAAGAGGGGTGATGCCGATGATTATCACATCGATGTCAATCAGGTGAACGCCAAAAATACCAGACAGGTTCTCGACAGGTGGTTCCATACCAAGGCTCGCGAGTATTTAAGCCAGTGCAATCAGCAGAGACGTGAGGAGAATGCAAACCAAGCTGAAGAGCAGGAGGCCTCAAGAGAGAAAACTCGCCAAAGACAATCACAAAAGCGCGTCAGTCCTTTCGATTATATTAATCCTCTTCTTTCCCATGATTCACAGTTCATTCCCCATCTTTTTGTAGGTTTGTAAGCTTTGCCAAAATACTTTCAAGAAATATTTCCCAGGACACCGCGACCTCCAACAGATCTTGTCGGAAAGATCAATTCATTCGGAAGATGAAGTGGACTCTGTCGGTCACTCATGCCGAATACCCAAGCTTTGGAGGCATCCCAATCTCAATGAATTCCTCCATGAGTTGGATGAGCTGCACCTCAAAGAACCGCAGGGTGACCAGGCTCTCACTTCCGCTGCAAAAGCTCTACGCCGTGGGCCTTATGCCGCTTCAGAGGATGTAGATTACCTTGCACAACCCCCGAAGGGATTCCCAAAAGCTTTACTTGATCAGAGATTTATGAACCAACACGCCTCAAGGGTGGCCATCTTGGCCCTTAATCTATCGTCACAGCATCATGACTTGAGGCCCTTACTTGCCCATGCTAAATGGCTTCAGCTAACAGAAGGCAGTTGATCAAAAAAATCGGGTACCCCCAAATTTGAGGATGTGCTACTTGTTGTGTCTCATCATGTCATGCACTTTTTCTCGTTTGTTATGGTCGTGTATATAATCAAAATGCTTGGTTGTCTCTTTCTTCTGTCTGGATTGATCTTTTTGCTTTACCTTTTTATGTCATGCGCCTTTCCTTATTCTCTGTGGTCGCGTACAGAGTTGAGAATGTTATATACCCCTAATGCATGTCTCTCACATGTTGTTTCCTGTCTGAATCAATCTTCTCTTTGTTCCGATCACAATGATCTTGTGACCTTTCTCGTCGCACAGGCAATTAAAAAAGCCTCATTCTACCGAGCCCATTGATGTAGGACCACACGCGGCCTGAAGACATGTATGTATCATACAGCTTGGTCAACAAATCTGACAAACATTGCATTGACCGTTGACGGATTGGTCACCATGAATTATGCTTGTAAGGAAAGAGAAAGATATGATCAAATTAAACTCTTGCAACATCAAACATCCTGGTGTGTCTTTCAAGGAGTGAAAAACCAAACGTCTCCCCTTGACCAAGTGTGATCTCTAGGAGTTCAAAGAGAAAGGTTCCCGGTGAAAACCAATTATGACTTTATCCACCCTTTTTTTAAAAAGAACCCGTTTTTTTCAATCACTTGCATCTGGTCTCACCAAATATTTCTTCCATCGGTTTGATAATCATTCTCGTCAAAAGAAACAAATGCCCTTCATGTATGGTGATCATACCTTTCTATACATACACGTCACTCTAACGAGCTTCAAGAACAAAAAACCAGCAGCTACGTCACATTCATCAGAGCAGAACTTTTCAGAAGACTGACTCAAATCACACCTCCACTCCCTCTTATGCAGAATTTTCTTTATTCTCATCTCTTGTCAGCATTCCTTCAAATCTTCTTTGGCGGCTCAAAGCTAACCTCCAAGCCGTACCAACGAACCATTTCCGCGTTTCCTTTCAGATTCTCTTTCGAGAGTTGCCAACCTCGCTTGCGTGCATCTCCGCCCTTGTACTCTCTTTAATCACACAAATGCAGGTGAGTCCATCAATCGGTATGCTGACATTCCCCTTCATCCCGTTCCCCAATCCCTTCACTGTCTTACATAGATCTCACCACACGTTTTGTCTTAGGAGAGTCGTATGAGACCTTATGAGATGTGTCCATCACGTACGACCAGGCAGTGTATGTAGACTATTTATACTGACCTCTACAATCACTTTCCTTCCCAAACTACCAACGCATCTCAACTTTTATCTCACTTTTTCATAGGTTCTCTCCTGCATCCACCTCTTCTCTCACTTCCCAACTGTTCATATCATGAAAGTCATACGTTTCCGAACGACTTTTTCTTATCTCAAGAATTGTGCTACCAAGGCTCGAAATTGGCTTGGTCAGTCAACTCGATGTTTGATCTTGTTTGATCTGTTCACTTTTTATATTCACACTTATATTGTTTCTTTTGCGCTTTCATCCTCATATTCTTCACAGCCGTGACAGCTCACCGATTTAGCACCTCTCGTCAAACCCGGGACCCATCCTTCTCCAGTCCCCCTCCTCCAGCCTCAGTGTTGTCCTCCGAAGCTCGTATCACGCCTCTCAACTTGCCTTCTAACTCAACTCCCACCAGCCCCATGAGTATTGACATCACGTCGCTCGTGACTCATCACTTTTACCAGCCCACCGACCTTCTCACTACAGTCCCAATTGTAGATACCCCAAGTTGCATCAGCCCAATGAGCATTGATACGACCTTGCTCGTCACTCCTCACGTTTTGGACCCCTTAGCTACTCCTACAAGCATCCGGAGCATTGAAAGCTCCCCAATTTTGAATCTTTCAACACCACGCCCTTATTCCGCAGGACAAAATCCAATTCAGCAAATTCGAGATATCCATCGTCTTTCGCCCACACCCAGCTTTTCGAGGCAGTCACGTACCGTACTGCTGACTGACGCGTCACCCCCTGACTGTCTTACCGACCCTTCCCCCCGAGCGCCTCGACCTTACGCTTAGGCCGCGTTCACTTAAGCCGGATTTCGTGAAGTCGAATTCTGAGCGACCTCATTTCTACATGTAGAAATGTGATTTTCGTAAAAAAAACCCGAAATTCGCGTTTCGTGAGAATTTGTGAAAAAATAGGTCATGAAGTGTTTGCTTTAGATGATCATTAAGGGCGGTTTTGAATCTTTGAAATCCATAAAAGTCTTGAGAGTTGCAATGAACAAAGGCTTTGAGCCTTCCTCCCTCCCAAACCATCCTTTCCAAGCTCTCATAATGTCAAGTTCATCGGATTCAGACTCTGACACGTCTTCCATATCTATTCGACCGGCTATCGCGGTTCTCAAGATCATCATCAAGGCCGGTATAGATTATCTCGCTTCGATAACCACCGAGAGAAAGCCATGTCGAACATCAAAGCTTCGAGGAAATCAATATACAAAAGAGATCCTCGAAGGCAGTGATGTTCGATTTTGGGAACTGTGTCGAATGAACAAGCGTGCCTTCAAGGGATTAATCAAAGCCCTTGAAGGCAAGCTTTTCATTCAACGAAAGCGCAGTGTTACTATTGAAGAACAACTCATGATATTTCTATTTATTGTTGGCAACTCCGGCTCTAATCGGGTCGCTGGAGAACGCTTTCAAAGGTCTGGTCATACCATTAGCAAATATTTTAATACTGTCTGCCATGCCATCGCCTCCCTTGAATCCATTTACATCGTTCAACCTACCGGAGGGGAGATATGTCCGAAGGAGATCAGGAATAATCCTCGCTTCACACCTTACTTTGACAAATGTGTGGGTGCCATCGATGGCACCCACATTCCTTGTATTGTTCCTGCGGATCGACGTGCAGCCCATCGAAATCGAAAAGGAAATCTGAGTCAGAACGTCCTAGCGGGATGCTCTTTCAATATGATGTTTACTTTCGTTTATGCCGGTTTAGAGGGTTCACACGCCGATGCTCGTGTTCTTCACCGAGCACTTGAAGAACGACGATTTGTAGTTCCAGAAGGTACGTTTTGATTCCTTCCAATTCACATTGATTTGTATTGACCTGTATCTTTCCAGATCGGTTCTATGTTGCCGACGCTGGCTACGCCAACGTACCAGGGTTTCTCACACCCTATCGATCGGTGCGGTATCACCTCAAGGAATGGAGGGATTCCCACTTGACACCTCGAAATCCCAAAGAGCTTTATAACCACCGCCACTCTGCACTTCGAATTGTGATCGAACGTATCTTTGGCATCTCAAAAATGAGATTTCCGATACTGGCAACCATGCCTCCTTACCCGTACAAGACCCAAGTCATGATCGTGATGGCTTGCTGTGTCCTAAACAACCTCATCCGGATTGAATCAGGCGAAGACGAGTTCTACGAAGAATACATGTTGAAGGAGCGCTTGGAAAGGAGGATGGCGGATGATAATGGTGAACCAGATTGGGTTGAGCCCAATCCAAACCAACGCACTCAAGCATCCGAACAAAGGGACAACCTCGCCGAGCAGATGTTCCATGATTTTATTAATGCACCAGTGGCGCGTAGGCAAGCTTAATCCTTTGAACACTCATATGGAAACTAGTTGTGGCTTGTTATTTTAGTTAGCAAAAGTACAATCAAATCATCTTTGTATATGTATTACTTTATACTGTATATGCTTTACTTTGTAAGATACATATGGATACTGTAATTTTTATTTTGTAAGATACAAAGGATGAAATGAAAAAGTGAGATTGATAAATGAAAAAATAAAACATATAAAATAAAAAAATAAGATAATGAAGTGGTTGATATTCATTCTTTATCTGCATCTTTATCTCCATCTTTATCTTGATACTGATCTAATATATGTGCTTCACTCTTCAACCATTCCCAGCGATACTTCTTATCCATATGGTAGAAAAAGGATGCTGTATCATCCTTTTTCAATTCATTCG